TGGTTCTGTTTGCCTGCTGAAGACTCGATTGGGGCCAATTTTATGATTCATCGTTGTGGGGATGAGGAATTGAAGCAGACAGATCTGGAAAAATGTTAGTCTGTGTGGCAGGGGTTGTATTTTTTAGGATGTCGATTGTATTTCTAGGATGCCGATTTTGGCTATGGTGGTGGGGGTTTCTGGTGGTGCTTTTGGTTGTGGTAGTGCTGTGGTGGTTGGAGATTTCTGATGGAAATTTTGGCTGCTCCATTGTTTTGGATGAAGAATGAATACTGCACGAAACTGTTTCCCGTGTTTTGGGTTTTTGGGTGGGTTTAGCTTGAAAACAGCCAAAACGATGTTTTCATCGTTTTGGTGTTTTATGTACAAATGTTTTTTTCGTTTTCAAAAACGTGTTTTCGAAAATAGGAAAGAGAACACGTTTTCACTGTTTTGGAAAATAGAAAACAGAAAACGATCCGAAAACGCCAAAGAGAACGGCACCTAAGAAGTTGCAGACTTCAGGTTTTTCTACACAAATGTAGTTGGAGCGAGAATTTTGGTACACAAGGAAACAGGAGTTTGTTACATTTTTCATCTTAGGAACTCTTATTATTATTTCATTTTTTTTTTCCTTCATTCTAAAGATTGTTTGAGATGTTGTACCCGAATCCTGAACGAATTCCAGCCTTCCAATCTTGCTTATAATGAATACAAAAGTTAAGGGTCCAATTTCACAATAAGAACTATCATAGAAAAGTAGTGAATTAAAAGGAAACAAAATGTAAATCACAAATATTACACCAAGATTGATTCATTTTAGGTAGTTAAAAAATAATTAATTTTTAAATAGAATATACCAGCAACCAAAACTGAATCCATTCCGCTCACCCAATGTCTCAAAATTTGATGTTAAACTAAATAAACACATAAAACTACATCAAATCAAATTCCGAGAAGAACACAAGACTTCAAATCCGTAGCATCTACCCTAAGCTAAAGCTAAATCAAATTCGTTCACCCCAAGAATTCAAATTCATCTGTTTTAACCAAAAAATAAATAAGATTGATGGGCAGACCTTGAAGACGGTTTGAAGAACCCAAAATCTGTTGGAAATTAAATTACAAAATTCTCAACAGAAAAAGTAAATAGGAGTAAACATTTAGATCATAATTGCATCAGACAATTCTGAAAAGTAAAACTTCGCTTAACCAATAATTTCTCCTCGGAATCCTCATCAATTGTCAAATACAATTCTGTAAAATACCAAAAATTAACTTAATCCTCATATTCAAAGGTTAACATCAGGAACCAGTCTTAAAAAACACAAGATTTCACCCAATTTCTCCCCATTCTTACTCGTTCCAAAATTCACAAATAAACACGATAAATCTCGTTTTCCTAAAAACCCCTATGCCCAAATGCACATATAGAATTTTTTTTTTTAATAAATGAAAAAATCGGAAGCCAAAAACACCCTTAAGTTTCTTAATTGAAGTAGTAAAGAAAATAGAAAAAACATAATTAAGCAAAACCTTTATGCGATGAGGAGGGGAAATTGAGGAAGCCTTGAAGCAGGAGAAGGGCAGTGATAAACGGAGACACGAAGCTTCTGAAACTTACAGAAGAGATAATGAGGTTGCAGCATTAATTTATCACCTGACTTATTTTATGTAATCATTTCACAAACGACTTTTCGATGTGGAATTGAAAAACTTGAAGCAATTGATTCAATCTTAATGATAATATAGAAATATATTTAACGACTCCCTAAGACAATCAAAGAGATAAAACACATCTGTGTTCAGTTTTCTAAAGGTGCCAGCTAGAATCTCTGAAAGAAAAGCACTGACCAGGCCTTTCAAGGTTCGAATTACTCTGACGCAGCACCATTTTTGCTTCAACGG